ACTTCTTTCTTAATATTTCGTACCAGCTGCGACCCGCAAAACACTTGCGGTAGTTTTCATGCCCTTCGCTTGAATTTTCCTTATTCTATCATTGTCACGCACGTCGTTTAAGCTACGCTTTCTTGCAGGCATTATATGTTAGATCGATAAATCCTGGTCTATTTGAAAAAAAAAAAATTGACACGGTTAGACAAACAAACTCACGTAGACGTAACTTTATTTAATAAAACTATACGTAATGTAGATATTAAAGTAAATTAATGATATTTATAATAGTGTACAGAGTATGAAACAGTTATGAGTTTACAGTCTATGACACAATTTTACAAGTTGAAACAAAGAAACTCACAAAAACTAAGAATAAAAGCCGTAGTAAAGAAAAAAGTAGCTAAAAGGTGTCTATAGCAGTCTATGACACGAACCGCAGTTAAATTGTTGCAAAGTAAAGTAAATGTAAAGTTGTAATGAAGGCAAACTTAGCTGAATATACAGAAACGTGTATGCATATTTCTGTATTTTAACGTGTTTTTTTTTTTTGCTGTTTAGTGTATAAACTACAATTCTTGAACGATATAGGCCTAACTCACCAATAAGTTGTCTTCAAGTTGCATCTAACTTGATTTCATTTGGTAATGGTGTTTTTCCTGAGAACTTAGTTAATTTTTAACACCTGATTATCGTTAAGTAACAGCATCATCGTACATCTGTAACACTATTAAAACGTGTTCTGCATCATATTAAATGTGACTTGACTTTTCTCCTTCGTTTAAAGAGTCGATTTTTGTAATTAGTAACGTTGATTAAACTATGTTAATTCTGTCTGATCTGGAACTTCATAGTTATTACTTAGTTGTTTTTATCTTTCCGTCGAACCAAGCATTTCCTAAAAAAAAAAAATAAGTGTTAGCCTCTCCTTGGTTTTATAAATGTTTTTATTTTTGGAATTTTTGCGCAGTTGCACAAATGCTATTTGTGCGTAACCATCCCTGTAATTTTGAAATGACAGACGAGATGGAAAGCAGTTAGACAATAGCAACCACCGCCAGCCAACTCGTGGCTCGGATACTGTGAGGAATTAATCAATGAAAAGAAAGTTAAAAAATTACGCGTTGGTGAAATCAGACAATTAAAAGCCTTGAAGTTTTAAAAAGAAATATTAACCGCAGTTCTAACACAATGTTCTCGGCAAAGAACTAGTTAACGTGACTATGGAAACAATTTCTAACTTGATATTTTAAAATATTCTTGGGTATTCAATTCTAATTAATAATGATTATAAGTATTGTTTGTAGATATATTTTAGAAATAAGAATATTTCCAAAGTGATTCAGCAAGAAAAAAAAAAAGTGCGTGTTTATTTGGTATAAAATATACTGTATCCATATTACACGCACAGTTTATATATAGTTATTCGCTCCTTTGGTGACGTTGAAATGTTTTATATTGTTCTTTTTAACCTACAGTATAGTAACGTAAATTTATTTGGATAATATTGTGCCTTATTCGATATTATACAGCGGATCAACTACACATTTATTTTCTTTTTTAATCAGAGTGAAATAAAAAATTAAACCCGTGATGTGTGGTTAAAAAGGACCCGAAAAACCCCATAAATATTATATACACATCAACTTGTAAGTGGCCTAACTGTATTTCTGTGGCTTGCTGATTGAAGCTACGCTGATGAGCTTTTAACAGGCGAATTGAATAAGCTGTTAGGTTTATGCGTCATAAGTTATATAGAAAAGAACTTTATAATATAACCAGTTTTATACTGTTGTTCAGTGTCGAGCCTGTGAAATATATAATATATTTTTTTTTAAATGTACTGGTATTGTTATTTATAAGTACGGTTGAAATAATAAATACTACGTTTTTTTAATTGGTTCTCACATTTATGACTTTTATACCACAATAGCTATTTTTAATCATATAGTACCTGTAGAACCCCCTTACAAACTTCCCAGGTAGTCTCAGTAAATAAAGTTGAACATTATAATATTTATCGAAGATGTTTAACAACTGTTCTGTTTGAAGTTATTACCTTACACACACACAGATACACGCCTTTAAAGAGTTGTTTGTTTGAAGTTAAGCACAAACTACACAATGGGCTATCTGTGCTGTGCCCACCACGGGTATCGAAACCCGGTTTCTAGCGTTGTAAGTCCGCTGACATGCCGCTGTGCCACTGGGGGGGGGGCTTTAAAGAGAAGATTTTTAATTTAATTTATACCGATAACATTGTGATATTCAGTTGAAATGTTCACGTTGTTTGTTGAGTGAATAATTTTACCAAAAGTGTTTTTTTCACAAGTTTTAAACATTGTAACTGTGCATTTCACGTATATCTGTTTGTTTGTTTTGAATTTCGCGCAAAGCCGTCTCTAATTTAGCAGTGTAAGACTAGAG